TTTTTAAAAATATTTTCATGGGGCCTGGGGGTATAACTCAGCAGTGGTACCTGCCTGGTTTCAAAAAAAAAAAAAACTTCATGAATATAAGTATGTTCATATATAGATGAACTTATTTTTGCAGATTCAAGGTTTTTTTGTTTTTCGTTTGTTTTTTAAGTCAGGGTCTTGTAATGTAGTTCAGGTTGATTTTGAACTCACCACATTGCCCAGGTTGGCTCGAACTCACGGTGCTACTCGTCTCAGCCTCCTGAGTGCTGGGATTACAGGGGTGCACCACCACACCCGGCATTATTTCTCAAAATGCTATAGAGAAGACAAAATGAGTTGCTGACCACATTTCCACATTAAAGGCATTAAAAACAATTCATGCAGTGCAAATTAATATAAACATTACAAGGCAAAAATGTTATAAAATATTGGTAAGTTGGCTTTTGGCAGCCAGTTTATTCCACTAAATTTCTGATCAATTTACTCATTTTCTGTACTTCAAATTCTTGAAACACAGGACATAATTAGCTTAACTACAAGTTACAAATTTAATTACAAATATTCACTGATAATTTACCCTTACATGGCTGGAGATACTGGACTGACATGAGACAGTGCAGCTGAGTAGATGTGCCTTTTAAATGGCCAAAAGTGCCTATCTCCTCATTGCTAAAACAGGATTCTGAACTTAGTTACCTGATTTTTATCTAAATTTCCTGCTTTTATTTCATTATCTCACTTGATGACGATATCTCACATAAGGCTAGTCTGTAGTCACACTTTCAGAATACTATTCTAGAACCATGGGAGTTTCTGAAATAAATCCTAACATATCATATAGTTATAAAATCCAACACTAAACTGTTTCCTTTCTTTCCCAAATAGGCCAAAAATAAATATAATGCACAACAAGCAAAAGAAGCAGAATTACAGTATTGCAGACATACTGAAACTCTTGCAACTGAAAAGGAGAAAGAATTTCAGAATTATGCCAGAGAAGTGATTGAACTTGAATCTGAATCAACAAGTAAATATATTTACCCTCTTGTAAAAGCTGTACAGGAAGGACCTGGAGGTGGCCGTGGACCAGCTTTTGTGGACAGAGGTGGATTAAAACCAAGCTATCAAGCAAATGATTTTACTGGAGTCCAGCTCCCTTTTTATAATTCTCATGGATCAAAATATAATTTACAAAAGTCTAAGGGAAGGCTAGGTTTTACATGGTAGAAAATTTTAAATATTGAGAAGACTAAGTTGTAGCAAATATGAGCTACAAATATAGTTAATAAAGCTGCTTTTCATCTCAGTATATTTATGCCCGATTTGCTTCTTCACACTTTTTCCACTGAGATAAAACCCATGAACTGATTCAGTTTTCTTTAAATACTTGAGATAAAACATTATTAAAAGTGTGCATTCATTGGCATTAAATATTCACATTTTGCAGCTATGCCTATGCATTGCTCCAAATGGAACCATGCACCCATTAAGCAATTGCTCCCATCTCCATCCCAACAGCCCCCTGCAACCAGTAATCTGCTTTGTCTCTATGAACTTATCTATGTATTTTATTTAAATGGAATCATATCGTGTGCTCTGGTGCCTGGCTGACTTTATTTTTCAAGGTTCATCCGTGTTGTACCATGTACAGTATCAGGCTTCATTCCTTATTTTCCGTATTTCCTTCCTCTGCAGCAGAACTTCATATGCTTATTTGCTCTGTCCTGTAGTACTTCAGAATCAATTACTGCTATTACTAATGAATTACTGACTTGTGATTTATTTTAGAGTGTATCTCACCAGATGTGTTCAAAGTACTGTTTTGAAGTCACATAAAACAATTCTAGTTTTGCCAACTTCATATAGATTCAGCAGGTCTTACTTGCATTTGCCTGCTCTAAATGTACAATTCCAGTGTTAAACCTGTGACTCTGGAAGTTCGTCATCCTACTCAAGTGGAACTCCAGACACACCACCAAGCACTACTACTATTTCCCCCTTCCCTCAACTTTTGGGAATCACCATTCTTTTTGTTTCTAGAAATCTAGCCTGTGTATATACTTCATGTGATTACAGATTTTTTTTTTTTTGGTATTTTACTTTGCACAATGTCATTTCATCCAGTGTGGCAGATGATAAAATTCCATTGTGTTGTGTATCCTTTTTTATATGTACTTTATCTATTCCTTTGTGATGGACCCTTGTTTCCGTCTTTTAGCTATTGTGAATAATGCTGTTGAGAATATCGTTATACAAATTACCGAGATGTTACTCCTTTTGGATATACACCCAGAAGTGGAATTGCTAAGTCACATAATGCTACTTAAAATTTTAGGACCTTCCCTACTGTTATTTTTTTAATAGCAGCTGCACCGTTTTACATGCTCACAAACACCTAACAGCTAGCCTAAGTTGTTAAGTTTCAACTTGTATTTCACTAGTCAAGCTGAAGATAAGAGTGGAGGGATGGGGATTAACCCAGGGCACTGCATATAGTAATAAGCACACAAAATCATACTTTTTAATATCTATTCAAGGCCTATTTTTTCTTCCCCATCCCAGGGCCATTGCCGGCCCCATCTCCTATTTTTTTGAAATTTTGCAACAGGGTCTTAAGTCACTAATTTGCAGAGTGGGCTTATACTTTTAGATCCTGCCTCAGCCTCCCAAGCACTGGGATTACAACTGTACATCACAATGTATTGTAGTTCTCAATATATTCTGGATATTGAACCCTTATCAAGAAATGATTCACAAACCTGGGCATATTGGTGCATGACTGTGGCCCCAGTATTTGTGAGGTTGAAGCAGGACAGCTGTGAGTTGAAGGCTAGCCTGGGCTACAGTGGGTTCAAGGCCAGCCCTACAAACTGAAATCCTATCTCAAAATGACAAAAAATAAATAGGTAAGGCTCTGGGTTCAATAGCACCATTGCCAAAAAGAAAACAAAAAATTTTAGGTAAAACTATCTTCACATTGCAAAACAAAGTTTTCTACAAAATAGATATTCCTCACTTAACAGTTCATAATTACAGCTGAATCATGTGGGTCAGTTTACAACCCACCATTCAGACTTATGACCTGTCTTCTTTGTGCAGTTCTCTGTAGTTTAGAGCCTCAACCTTTTTTTTGCACAGTACATCGTTGCTTATACAGTAGTTTTTGCTGACCATACTGTACACTATACTACTAATTTTATGACATTGTATATTACAATGTCATGTTAAACAAATAAAAGCAAAGTCATCAAGTTGGGAGTTTTCCTTGAATACTTCTGCTTTGAATATTATAATATACAGATCCTCACTTAGCAATCAAGTAAGCCAACAACCCAGTTATAGAATAAACCTGGTCATTAAATGAGAAGTGTAACAAATCATAAAAGAGATGTATAACCAACTTATGCTGAGGGAAGGACCAGCCCTACTAGTTTTCTGCCATAAATACACAATTTTATTTTCAATTGGACTGGACTTTTAAAATGTAATACATGACTAGAGTACATAAGGTTATGCAAATCACAAAACAATGTCAAAACTTGTATACTACACAAGTGGCTGTAATTTAATGAAGAGAAATTGATATAAATTTGTTTTTGTCTGTTTGAAGCAGGGTCTCACTATGTAGTTCAGGCTGGCCTTGGCTTTGTAGCCCAGGCTGCTCTTGAACTTGCGATTCTCCTGCCTCAGCCTCCCGAGTGCTGAGATTACAGCAGTGCATCACCATGCCTAGCCCAGAAATTGATATAAATTTAAACTAAAGCATTTTGAGCACTGAGAAGAGCGGGGGAAAGATGGAAAAATTATGAGCTGGCACTTAAAAAGGTAGTGTAGTATTAAGTAAGGGAATATTTAGGAGTGAAACCTAGAGTAAAAAAGCTTAGCGCAGTGGTACATGCCTATGATCCCATCCGTTCAGGAGGCTCGTGGAGATCCTGAGCTCAAAGGAGAGCAGAGGCTTGAGCCAGAAACCCTGTCTTTAAAAAAAAACAAAAGATACAGAAAATAGAGCTAATTATTGCTGACAGTGCTTTAATACACAATTGGCATAGTTTACATGGAGCACGCGTATTTTACATATTCCTCTGGCTAATGCATTTAAAACACTGCAGACTTCAAGTTTTAATATTCTGTTAACACACAAATCACTGAATGTCCACCAATGTTTTCACCTATGCATGTATTTTCAATTACCCTCAAGTTGACTAGGCTCATTTTTCTAAATGTGTAAATTAAGTAAAAATAAAATGAACCAAATAAAAACTAGACATCATTTTACAAAAGTTTTTATATGGCTTTACAGTAACGTTGTATTAAAGCAACAGACACAGTATACACTTGCAGCAATCCTACTGGTGAGAAATCTGGAGGAATTAAAAGCGAACGGTAGCACCTTTTTTCCCCTCCTACTGCGCACTTGCAAGGCAAGTGCTTATGCTGCTGAGCTAAATCCCCAGCCCCCAAATGTAGATAGTAATGCAAGTTCCAAGTTTCATTCTACAAGTCTGCTGGTAGGTACAAATTTCCTATGATGAATGTGATCATTATATACCAATAAACAATTAAAATACAAAAGGATATGGTAGAAAAGGAAAGTTTGCTGGGTCAAAAGACACAATGCAAACAGAAACATGATTAAATGTTTACAGAATATACACCCAAACCTGAAAATCATTATTGCTAGCCTTTTTTTTTTAAAGACAGGTCTCGTTATATAGTTTAGCAGGCCTTGAACTCACTATGTAGCTCAGACTGGCCTCAAACTCATGGAGATCCTCCTGCATCAGCTTCCCAAGTGCTGGGATTACAGGTGTGTGCTACCACACTTGGCTCTAAATTCTTTAAGAAGCTTAATCCTGTTAAACTTTGGTTTTCTCACAATACAAATGATTTTATATTCTCAAGGGTAAAATGCAAGTGCATTTCAATTGATTTATTTTCATTATTTAGCTTTTAATGAAAAGAAAAAAGGTCAAGTAGTTAATAATTTAAAAAATACAAAACCAAACTGTTTGTTACAGTATAGTTTATTTAATACAATGTTTAACTATAAAAGTTAATACAGATTTTAAGTTTAAATTTTGTAAAATGCAGTTTGCAGAAAACAGTCCAACAGTTACTAGACTAATGATAGGAGAAGCAGCATCTTGAAACTAATTTTACAATTGAGACAACAATTTTATTTCTAAATTTCATTAAAAAAATATACATCACAGTGACTTCTGAGCCAGGAAAAGAAGTGCAGTAACTTCCTTACGTTTCCCCTTTCACAAAAAGCAGCCACAACTTTGAATATGACCACACACAGTAATACTCAATTCATTTGTCAGTCTTTGAAAATACTATGAATACACAAAAGAGGAAGAAAATATACAGCATGTGCTTTTGATGACATGGAATTTGCTTGAGGCAGGGGGAGAAACATAAATCCATCCCACCATTCCCTTCCACACCTAAACCAGGAAAACCTTCACCAACTCCCTTCCCTAACCTTGCTGATGGAATTCTTTTCATGTGATTTGTGGTTTTTCTTTTCTTTAATATTTATTTCTTTGTCACACAACAGGCCAGAGTCTGCCCCTGCCTGAATCCCTTAAAGGCAACTGGGAAGCCCACCGTGGCAGTGTGCCATCCAACACTGCACTCCCTGGGTCCTTTTTCCCCCAAATAAGTATTTGTAATAAAACACAAATTTACACAATACAACAACTTATCAACCTGCAATCCATGGAGAATTTTTAAACTGTAAATGTAGGAATCCTAAGAGAATAATTATAGTAAACATAAGCAAAACAAGACAGAAAAATATCCATTTAGTCTTCATACCAATTAGCTGTATGGTATATATTTAAAGTGCCTTCTAGTGAAGGCAAGCCCAAAAAATTTCTACAGAAATTTACAAAAAAGCTCAGCAAGATGAAAATTACCACCTAGAGCAAAGTACAACTAACTACTAAAAAAAAATACTAATTTGCTCCAGAAACTAAAAAATAAATTAGAATTATCAGCTACTACTATTACCCAGGATACTAGAAACTCAATTAATGCTTGTCCACAACATAACAAAATCTTGTTTTAGTTTCATTTTCCACTGATCACATGAATCAAAGGCCATTCAGCAAACTCAACATGCATCAGTATCAGTGCAAAGGGATTTATCACATAAACTCTTAGCAATTTCTGAGGGTTTCAATTAGTTAATTTAATACTACATAACCTCTGAATTCACCAATTACCAACTAATTAAAAAATGTTAAACAACCCAGTGCCTTCTCTGCTATTCATTAATCTCTCTGTAGTACCAGTTTCCAGGGCATACAACTTAGACAGAAAAAAAATTCACATAATAATCATAAAAATTCTAGGTACTGAATTTTTTGCAGCTATGACCAATTGAGCAATAAAAAATGAAAATACCTGTTATTAAGTCAAAGCTATGTATGACCTTTAACCTCAGATGTAACTATAAAATTAATGTGATGGGAAAAATTAAATAACTGATTTCTGGGCAATGTCCAAAACAATAAAGATGGAGCAACTACTAAAAATGTAATACAAGGAAAGGACCCCATGAGCCTTGTGCGATTCAGATACCAGTGTAAATCTTGGGGTATAATTCTGCCTAATCATTTTCTAAATTTTTTTTTGTACTCTGAAAATAAAATATAGTTGATTGTCCTTTTTCATCCAAACTCCTTCACATCTGTTCTATGAAAACAGCTAACAAAGCTTTTTTAGAAAGGTCCCTATATATAATGCTCAGCATGGGGTTGTTCTTTTGGTAACTCAAACAGGGCACAACACTACTTATGGAATTATCTTTCCTTCCTATGGCTACTTTTTGAAACTCAAAATCTGGAAAGTATTTGTTAATATCCTTAACAGATAAAGCTCTGGGATCTTAGCATGGACTTTAAAAAATATGTATGTGTTATCAGAAATTTTCTTAAATAGTACCTGTCTTGAAGCTCAAATAATCTGACAGATTTTAAAATGCAATTTACTGAATTAAGACAACAATTTAAAATATATAACAGATCATAGAGCTTAGATACTGACTCAATAATTCTTAATGTGGGTCTGTGGTCAGTTCCTAAGGAATCACCCTGAATTGTAATAAACATATACTACTTTTACCACTAGGAAATAAAATTTTGAAAAAAATCCTCTCTTGGTATTTGTTTCAAGTATCTCAAACAAATTTATAATCATTACTCTATTCTGCAACAGCTACAATGCCAAATGATTATCACTATATTAGTCAATAATGGGAAGCATTATGCTAAGCATTACTTTATTCAGTACAAATAGCACTGGGTAGCTAATGGAGTTATCAAGACTCTACCTAGGTAATAAAGTTAACACTATACTGACAAATGTTAAAGTACAAAACTCCAGAATCCACTATAGATTAGAATTTTGAAATTTCTTTTAAAATGAGGCAGGTTTTGTGTTTGCTGTTATCAATGTTTTATTCGGAAGAGATGTTACAGAATAAAATGCCGTATGTGGCAAAAATGGCAAAACACATCAAATTCTGAATGGACGCTGGATATGTTTAGTGATTAACTCTGAGAGCTACCAAATTTTGCAACTTTCTATTTTACTCTACATGGCAATGTTACACATGCCAATTTAAAATAATGTTAACAATGGTATAAAGCCATAAAGCCATCTGAATAAAAAGAAACCAGAGTCATAAACATGCTATATCCTATCATCACACATTTATAATTTTTTTTTTTTTTTTTTTTTTTTTTTTGCCATTTGAAACTCACAGCTATGGGAGAAGATACTTTAAGTTTAAAAAAAACAAAAACCATGCAGAGTTAACACTCAATGCTATATAGATTGGTGGTCAAAACAGAGAAATCTTAGAAGTTACTGTATCAACTAACAATTTTTAGAATCTGTCTAGCTTAAGGACCTGGAGAAATTAGCTGTATGTTTTACTGAGAAAATATTTTTAATTTTAGAAAAAGAAAGCAAAAATAATAATGTTCTCATTAATAATTTCAACTCTTCAGACCAAAACCAACAAAAAAACTGAGAATTACAATCTGATCTTCCTATAAAATGCTGTATAACAGCAATTCAAGCTCGACCAGCACATCAACTGAAAAAAATTCTCTAAGACTTTTAGACATGTAAGTAGAACACAACTAGACAGAATAATATTACTAAGACAGTATGAAACACAAGACAAAGAACTAAATTTTCACCTATCTTAAAATACAAGTAGCTATAAAATCAAGGTATGATTTAATATCTCAAATTATTAAGACCTTGCTTCTGTAGTTAAAATAAATTGCTAGAAGGCTGTATTATGAATTCAATCAAAATCTACACAAAATTTCCTCTAGTGATGTCTAGTTACTTTAATCACAAGAAACACAAGCTTTTGTAACAATTAAGTGCAACCATCAGTTATGCGTGTTTTCAAATGGCTGATTAAACAAATCAGGATGCTGTTGGCTGACTGCTGGAAAATTCATACATAAAATAGTTTAACATAGCACACAGTGTTACACCAAGATGTTTTTCTCATTTCAAGTTTATTAAAACTTTAGCAGTACAAATTATCCAGGTTGCAGATTATCAAAAGATCAACTCAATGAAGTCCACATTAAAAACAAAAACAAAAAGACACAGAATAACCCAAAATACAATGAAAACATAAAGGCAATTCACCAGCCAAGTCTCTAAAACTTAAATTTTGAGACAGAAAGGAAATAAATTTATACAACTCACTCATCCACTTTTGTCTTCATCTGTTCCAGGGCTTGATTCATGATCAAATTTTTTGTTTTTATCATGTACATGGTCATTTTCTTGAGCCTTTGATTTTTGGTTTTCATTTTCCACTGAGGATCTGGTCTTCTCCTCCTCCTTATTTTTCAACATGGAGGACTTTAATTCACTGTCTTGGCTAGTTTGCTTTATTTTTGAGAATGGACTTTGATCTCTATCAGCCTTTTTTTCCCTGTTACTACTTGAGCTATTATCACGATTTTTAGAGTACATTCTTTTTTCACTCTCAGAATTTTCTTTTCTGTGTGAGCTCTTACTTTCTTGGTTTCTATGTTTTTCCTTGTTTCTGCTTTGACTTTCTTCTCTCTCTGAGCTCCGAGAATCTCTCCTCCTTCTCCTCCTCTCTTTACTTCGTGATCTTCCTGGTGTTCCTCTTCTGTCTCGGCTTCGTGATCTTCCTCTCCTCCTGTACTCCTCCCTGTATCTATGGTATTCCTTGCTTCTGCTACGATCTCTGTCATGGCTTCTGGATCTCACCCTTCTGCTTCGGTCCCTACTTCTGCTTCGTTCCCTGGTTCTACTATTGTAACTGTGTTTACCTTTAGTTACATCCCGTTCTCTACTCCTGGACTGTGCGCGTCTATCCTTTTCTTTACTTTTACTATGATCATGCTCATTACTTTTTGATTCTATTTGCTTAGACTTTTCTTTACTTCTGCTCCTTTCCTGATCTTTTCCTTTAGAATCAGACTGTTTTTCTTTTTCTTTAACATTCTCATGATCCCGTTCTTTACTCCTCGACCTCAACCTCTTTTCTTCATGTCTGTTATGTTTTGAATCTCTTTCCTTACTCTTTGATTTCTCTTTGCTCTTACTCCTACTTTTAGATTTGGCTCTTTTCTTCACTTTGGTTTTATTATATTTATCTTCTTTTTCTGAATTTCTTCTGATTTCTCTTTCTTTGCTGTCAGATTTATGGTCTTTAACTTTCTTTTCCTTTTCATTTTTTCTGTTTGGACTTTCAGACACATGCCTGTGATCAGTTATTTTTCTCTCTTTTACTCTAACTGGGCTCCTTTGATTTTCTTTCATTTCATTCAATTCACTCCTAAAAATAAGAGAAAAAAAGGATTTTTGGAAATGTTATTAGTAAAAGAACAATGTAATTACTAGTTAAAAAGAAACTTTAATTAGGTATACAGCTATCAGTAAAGTAATTTTATGTACAACAGTTAAAATACTTATCACTACATTTGGAACCATAGTTGATCTTACTTATCCCCTTTGATCCATCTTTCACCACTTGATACCCTCATTCGTTGAGCTCTCTGCATTTCTTGCCTCCAATGTGGAGGAGTCTCACTACGTCTGAAACGATCCCTTGATCTGGATCTGGAAGGAGTTCGATAACGCTTAAGAAGGTAAGAAAGGGAAAAAAATTAACATAAAAATTTAAAAACAATACAATAGCAAAAGCATATATATTTATAGGCTTAAAAATGGTATTTCTGTGTCCACTGTTGTAGGGTGTGCTCAGTGAGTAGAATAACATGTTATAATGAGGCCCTTTGATGACCAGGACCAATTAATTAACTGATCAATAAACAAAACTACTAAAAATTCCCTCTCTTTCAGGTAAGAAATCAATAAGACAGAGAAACTTTAAGTTGTCACACTGCAAATTCCAAGTAAGAAACATTAACCACAGAAATTCTAGGACCACCCCCGCATGGTAGAGTCTTATCCTAAGGGATGCTAGTGCAAAGTAGGTATATAAACTCTTACAAGTTGCCAAATTCAATGATTTATACTTGATGTTTCAAAACAAATATCATGAGAAAAGCAGAGTAAGAACAGGATGTTCATTTATTCAACCAAGATTTACTTAGTCCTTAGGATTGGCCAACCACTCTATCACACAACAAAGATAACGGTTAAGTTAAGATGCTAAAACATCTGTACAAGTATAACTGAACGAGTAAAAAAAGAAAGAGAAAAGGTGTTAACAGAATAAGCAAAAAGAGGTGACTTAATACAGTGTGATCAATTAAATAAAAACTGGAAAGGGGATAAGGACAGATGAGAAAAAGCATGCAAAGCATAAAAAATACAATGTTAAAAGTTCTGAGACAGAAACAGCATGTTTTAGAAATGATCAGAAGACAAACCAACTACAGCTAAATTTAAAAACTGCAAGGGAAAGATTAGATAATACTGATGACATAACCCAGGACTGGGTCTTACAGATCACAATAGTATTTGCCAAGCATGATGATATACACCTAGGATACTAAAATGTGGGAAGCTGAGGTAGGAGAATCTGAAGTTTAAGCCCAGCCTATACAACTTAGCCAAATCCTGTCTCAAGATCTCAAGTAAAAAAGGGGTTGGGGATACAGTGCAGTGTGAAGGCTCTGGATTCAATTCTCAGTGCTGTAACATAATTTGAAAAATCAAAAAGGTTATCACTAACATCAATGGTAAGGGAGTAATATAATTAGGTTTCATTTTTAATTTACTATTCTGGTTACTGTTAGGAATAAGAATGAGCTCAGTAATTCTCAAAGTGTGACCTAAAAATCTCAAGACAAAGGGGAACTAATTAGTCAAAACTATTTTCATAATAACTTATTATTTCCATTTTTTACTTTTGCCCTGTTAAGATCATACACTAGAATTATTCAGGGACTGTATGACATATTTTGTTGTCATTATTTTCATAGCTACTGGAATGTAAACTTATATATTCTTGTGACAGAAACAGTCCTTAGTTTTTGTTGTTGTTACCAGAAATCAAACTCAGGACCTTGCATTTGTCAGGCAAGCACTTTGCCACTGAGCTAACTCCCCTGCCCAGTCCTTAGTTTTAACTCCCTCCCCCAATTCATTTTATTTCAAGGATAAAAAGAAAAACAAAACAAACAAACAAATAAACTAAACTAAAACTAAATTTCAAAACACGTCAATTAAAGAGCAACAATGATATATACATTGTCATCCCCAAGTCATTCACCCAGTGCACAAGATACTGAACTTCTAAAAAAGTAAATACTCTTTATCAACAAAAGCTCTTCTAACTCATTTAAAAAAAAAAAAAAACACCACATATGCACACATGCTTGCACACACACACACATGTGAAGGGGGGTTGATTCCAGTATTTTCCCATGCAAGGCAAATGCTGTATCCTTGAACTATAACTATATCCCCGGCTTTTTTCAAAATTGTTATCTTGAGATAGGGTCTTACAATTTTCGGAGGCTGGTCCAGAACTTGCAAACCTCCTGCCTTAGGCTCTAGAGCAGAAGATTATAGATCTATGCCACAGTGCCTAGTTACAAAAACTTAACAGTGTAAAGCAGTACAGAAATAAAAAGAGTTTGACGATTACCAAAATACAAGTTAGGAAACTAAAACAAGTATGATGATGATTTGAATGATCAAGGTGGGAATGAAGCTTGAAACATAGTTTCTGGGGTACTGAGGTGGTAGAATGGATAGGATCTGGGGATAGGTAAGATATATATGAATAAAAGGAAGAATTAAAATGATCCTTGATCCTCTTTAGTATAGTGGTGAAAAAAAAAAAATGATCCTTGAGCTTTAGGTTTAAGGAACGGTAGAGACAGCAGTGCCAGGCACTAAGACAACGAACCTAAAGGATGAGGTCTGACGAGTAAATGCTTGTCTTCAACTTTGTAATGTCAAGTCCAAGGAGTTCATTAAATAAGCCTCAGCAGCTAAGAGGAAAATTTTGAGTTATCAACTGTGAGAATAATGACACTGACCAAGGAGCATTTATACTGTGAAGAGAGTGAGTTTGAGGTATTACATTATTTAAAGATTGGCTACAGGAGTATAACCTAGCATCAGAACTTTAATAGTGATTAGTCAAAGATATAGGGGAAAGGTGTGATTTGTGAAAGCAATAGGCAGAGATAGTATAAGGAAGATTTATCAAGATGAAGACCAAAAAGATCCAGTATGATGGCAGTGACCACAAAGCAAACACCATTTTTCAGTAGAATAGAGGGAATAGAAGAAAAGTTAAAATACTTGAAGAAAGAAGTAGAGAAGACAGGATATATAACTAAGTATCTAAAAGTTCTGAAAACAGAAGAATATATTTAAATGCATGGGGAAAATCCAACAAAGAGAAAGAATGAAATGCAAGAATAAGATAAGATTATTTATTTTTTAATAAGAGTTAAGTTGTGACAGGTAGGAAGTACCAAAGGCCTCAGACTAGCTGGGCACTGTGGCACACACCTATTTAATCAGAAGAATAAGGTAAGAGGATCACTGTGAGTTTGAGGCCACCCTAGCGCTACACAGTGAGTTCAAGGCCAGCACAAGCTAGAATGAGGTTCTGTCTTCAACAAAACAAAACGAAACACCTTGACCCCACTTTATGCCATATAAACACATAAACCATTTAAATCTTACGCCATTTTTTCAGTTTGAATGCTGCACCAACACACAAACTTTTCTTTAAAACAATAAATTTTAGCCAGGTGAGCTGACTCAAGCCTGTAATTCCAGAATCTGGAGACTGAGGCAGGAGGATTGCCATGTGTTCAAGGCCAGCTTGGGCTGCATAGTGAGTTCAAGTCCAGCATGAACTACATAGCAAGTTCTCATGTCAAAATGAAAAAATAAAAGAAAGAAATTGTAACATATGTTGTGAATAATATTTTTTAAAAATTTACATAAAATATATATATTGTAGTACTGTAGATTCACTCTTGAGCCTTATACATATTAGGCATGGCTAGTTTACTCTATTTAAGAAACTACTACATGGCTAGTTTACTCTATTTAAGAAAGATAAATCAATATTAATTAAGAGTTTTGGGTGAAGAATTACCTACCCTTGGTCCTCTTCCTTTAATTTTCCTGCCAGATCTAGTAACTAAGAGTCGTCTCTGGTATGAAGCAGGCTGGGAGTTAGGTGCATTACTAGGAAAAGCAAAAGGAAAGTTAAAACATATTACTATTATGGAAGTGAATGTGGAAATACAGCTGTACTGATCTTAATCAATTTAAAATTCTAAATGGAAAAGTGGTATTTTTAAACTTAAAATGCTATCAGGTCTTAGAAAGTATCTGGAAATGCATGGGAGCTTTTTTCTGCTCAATAACCAACGACTTGTTGTCAGTTCCTAAGAGTCAGAAATGTTAGAATCTTATAAGGTGTCAAAATGGTCTCTTCTGTCCCAAAATGCCAGTCAGGTGCAGCAACACTGCTAAGCATTCATTATTAAGATAAAATGGGGGTGGGGCCAGGGATATAGCTCAGCAGCACCTGCCTGGCAAGCACAAGGTCTTGAGTTTGATTCTTCGTACCCATCCCAACTAAAAAAAAAAAAAAGGATAAAACTAAGGCCAGGCATAGTGAAGCACACCTGTAATCCAGCATTTCGAAAATTGAGGCAGGAGGATCACTGTTAACCTTGAGGGCAGCCTGGACTACATAAACAAGATCAAGGTTAGTTTACACTACTTAGCAAGACCTTGTCTCAAAAATCAACAAAACAAAGCAAAACAAAACAAAAAAAGTAGCTAATTTGATAATGCTAAAGAAAATCAAAATGAAGAGTTCAGAGGGAGCCAAAAGTACAGATTTTAGAACTATCTTATTCCAAAGACCCTGATCATCTCTATAAGCAATTGTTCAGAAGTAAAAGAAGTAAAGATATGTAAATATTGTGAATAAAGCAGAGATAAGCTGGTGTGAATTAGCTGAATTTTTATAACATGGTTTATATCAAAAATTGAAACTATGGTCAAGTAAATTGATATTTAGCCATTAACAATACCCATAAATTTTTTTTTTTTTTTTTTTTTTTTTTTGTACTGGGGATTGAACTCAGGACCTTGCACTTGCCAGGCAGGCACTTAGGTAAATGACATTTGAAAAGTTCACTGAAAGTATAGTTCACTAAAGAATAGTTCAAATTTTCCTCTTTAATCTTTCTTAGAAACAGCCTTTTCCAGAAAAATAAGCTGAATCCCATCCAACAAAATTACTGCAAGTTTCAAGTAATTCTTTTTCCAAATAATTCTTATTTTTTGTATTTTTGTTGTATTGTGAAAGAGGATCACTAAAAATTCTATTTTTTGTGTGTTATAACAATACATCTGTTATCATAACTAAGAACTACTTCAGTTTTTAAATTTTTTAGGTTTTTCTTGGTATCAGGGATTGAACTCACAACCTCATGCTTGCCAGGCAGGCACTTAAAAGCCCCTGAGCTAAATTCCCGGCCCTCAGTTTTTAAATTTTGAACATAATCACTAAAATAAGTCAAGAAATCAATACAGTTACTGCCATTAATAATGTGGATTTATGCAGAAAAACATTCAAAATATTTTCACATGCTGTTTACTGCAATACTATAAATCAAGTGAGGAATAAAAGACTTTTTCCTATTATACTAACTTGTCTTTTTCATTTTTATTGGTACCGGGGATCGAACTCACGACCGCCTGCTTGCGAGGCAGGTACTTATGCCACTGAGCTAAATCCCCAGCCCCCTATTATACTAACTAACTTTTAAAAAAGGTTTTCACTTGCTTCTATTAAAAAAAGATGAAATTTAAAAAAAAAAGATAATTTCAATCTTGGGACCAGGACATGATTTAATCTCGTCTGAAATATAAAAGTTTTGAAGGAGAATATCCTATACAGGATAGTACAAAATACACACATTAACATACCACTCTCTCTCTCGTTCTCTCTCTCTGTTTTTCCGTTCCTTGTCATCAGCTTTAGGAGGACTCTTTCTCATGAGGAATCTATTTTCTGGTATAGGAGGGATCTCTTCTGGACGGACAGTAGACTGGGGTTGTGCTTCAAGATTTTCAGCCTCACTTTCACTAGATGCACTTAACACACAGGAAGCACAAAATAAATTATATTTGGTTATTATGTACCTACCCTATATTTCCAATTGCAGTATTTCCTTCCTTTGTGTCACAATATATATACACACTATCTTATCCATCCCAAAGATACGACTATGTGGGAACATCTTCCTCTAACTCCTCCAACAAACCAAAGACCCAATCCAAAAGCTAAACAAAATATATTACCACACTCACAAATATTTTTTCCATAAAATAGATTCAAAAATATTATTCTGTGGGCAACAGACTCCTCTAAATTTAAAATACAGGTAAAGGTCAGGTGTGCTAGCATGTGCCTATAATCCCAGCACTCAGCAGACTGAGGCAGAAGGATTGCTGTGAGCTTCAGAACAGAAAAAAAAAAAAAAAAAAAAAAAATTAGTTACTTTTCAGGCAACAGGCAGTTAAAATTTTTGGCACACATGGAATATTTCAAGCAAAATGAAAAAGAGAGTGAATCTACAGTCATTATTTGCTTTCTAGCTTTGTGCTACTTTAAGAGCAAAGGAAATAAAAGACAAAAAAGCACTGGAGAATATTATAGAAAATGAACACAATTATTGGCTTCCTGTAGTTCTTTGTAATCCTACAATCTTCCATAAATATATAAACCTAACCTGGCACACTGGTTCATGCTTATAATCTCAACTACTTGGGAAGTAAGGCAGGACGGATCACAAACTCCAAGCTGGTCTATGTGACTGAGACCCTATCTAAAAAACAAAACAAACCCCAAATCCAAGGACAAAGAAATCCAAAAGCTATCACTTTATTGAGTGAATAAAAAAAAATGGAGAGGTTTTGTTAAAAATGGAAATATACTCAAATTTAATTCATTGACTGCACAATAAAAAATTGACACTCAATTTTATTAAAATATTTCTACTTTAGTGCTTCCATATAATTGATTAAAAATCTTAATAGATTTATATATAAACAAAGAATCAGAATATAAAGCTAATAGCATAAAAATAAAGACCTTTTCTTGCTTTTCTTTCTCTTCTTCTTTTCTTTCTTGTGTTTTCGGGAATTTTTTCTGTGTTTCTTTTTTCTTTTTTTTGATTTCTCTTCAGAAGCACTTTCAGAGTCAGAAGAATCAGAAGAAGACTGAGAATCACTTGAGCTATCTGAATCACTGGATGATGAGGAGGAAGAGGATGATGATTTATGCCTTTTCTTTTCTTCTTTTTTAACTTTAATAAAAATAACACGACTTGTGTCAGTAATTTTTAGACAAACTTTGTAAGCACAAGTTTAAATACTCTGCAGATTTTCACAAAGTTCAGTATTTAACACTTAGCTCATCTACCTATCTGAAGTGAGAGTATACAAAAGGAATCAAGACTTAGGATTAGAATACAGATCTTCAGATTTGTGGATCAAAACTGCATCAACTAAGTCAAAGAACATTTGAATAAAAAAATTTCAGAGATACAGAGTACCATTTAAGCCTTCCAGGTTCTAATTTTCTTATAGTTTCTCACATTTTCTCTTAGTGTCAACACTGGAAGCAAAACTATAGTAGGGTGGTAACAGAAAAATACTATTCTCAAACATAGAAAGATAAAAACATGCTTTCATTAGCAAGGGTTTATGTTTTAATGCCTGAATGTTCCTCTAAAGACTAAGAAATATAACTACAGTTGAAGTATGGATTCGTAACAAGGAAATCACTGGCCGTGATGAATAAATATGTTTTGGGAATCCCACAGAAAGTTATTTCAAACTGAAATTTTATTTTGTGTTAAGGAAAGAATAGTGATTTTTTTTTTGTACTGGAGATCAAACTGACGACTGTGCACTTGCAAGGAAGGCACTTATGCCACTGAGCTAAATCCCTAGACCCAAGAATAATGTTTAAAAGGTCTCAAAACTCAGTGGTCAAAATCAGGCAATTAATATAAGTGGAAATAACAAAGTGTATTACGTGAAAGAAAAGTAACAAATACAATAGAAATAGACTCATCTTAAAGTATGCTAAATTCAAACCACAGTGTTTTGAAAAGGCTATTTCAGGACAAAGATAAAACAATACTGTTGTATAATTATCACAATACAATGGAATACATCAACTATATTGACATCAAAATATCAAGTATCTGTTCTGCCTTTCCTATGTGAACTATACCAATTGCTATCCAAATGAAGGGAAGTTGCTTTTTATCAGAAATATTTCTACAGTTAAGTGAAGAAGGGATTACTGTTAGCACATCACCATTTTGCACCTATTAATGAGACCTTTAACACCAATAGTTGCTGTGGAGCACAGAGACAATCTGCCCTGCATAACTGCTCATCCCATTAAGAGGAACAACAAGGAGAACAAAATTGTACCTGACCAAGTTTCCTAGATCTATCCAAGTTATCTGAAATAGAAGCACTGAGAGAACACATTACATTGTACAACAATGAGTAAATTAGTAAAACCTAAGATACTAATTATGGGAAATGTTGTTATATGACAAGACGATCTACTTTCTTTCTTTCTTTCTTTTTTTTTTTGGTCTTTTTTCCTTTTTATCGGTACCGGGGATCGAACTCACGACTGCCTGCTTGCAAGGCAGGCGCTTATGCTGCTGAGCTAAACCCCCAGCCCAAGACGATCTACTTTCATTAACTATATATTTTAAGGAAACAAAAGTAGGTAGTGGGGGAAGCTACTAAAAAACAGTTGAGCATGGCTGCACATCTCTGTAGTCCCAGCTCCTTAGAAGGCTGAGGCAGAAGAAAAACAAATTTGAATCCAGTCTGGATAAACTTAGTGAGACTATCTTAAAAAAAAAATTTTTTTTTTCCTTTTTTCTTTTTATTGGTACCGGGGATCGAACTCACGACTGCCTGCTTGCAAGGCAGGTGCGTATGCCGCTGAGCTAAATCCCCAGCCCCAAATTTTTTTAAAATAGCTGAGAATGCACCTTGGTGGTAAAGAACTTACTGTACAGCACATATGAGGTACTGGGGTCAGTCCCAAATAAATACTTTCTTTAAGATACTATGGTCCCACTATGCCTCCTAATTGGGATGAATGGCATGTATGACTATGCCTGGTTTAAATAAATTAATGCAAAGTGACTTACAAGGTCAATCTCAATGTTTGAACTTTATCTGGATCCAGAGTTAAACAACAAAAAACACAAACATTAATAAAACAATTAGAAATTTGAACACTATCAGGCAGATATTTAGGAGTACATGTATATGATTAGGGTACTGGTTATTTAGAAGTAAATGAACTATTTATTGAAAAAAGTATAATGCCTGGAGTTTTCTTTAAAATAGGAAAGGGGCCAGATTTGGTGACAAATGCTTGCAGTCTTAGCAAATCTAGGAAGCTAGAGTGAGAGAATCATTTGATACTCAAGTCTGAGGAAAATCTGAGCAACACAGCAACATCCCATCTCACAGAAGGGGGGATAGTGAGATATGGGTAAAACAAAACTGGCCATGAATTGTTGAAGGTGGGTAATGAAAATGCATGTTGCCTTGAACTCGAGAGACAGAGGCAGGAGGACTGCCATGAGTTCAAGGCCAGCCTGAGCTAAATAAATGAGTTAAGAGTAATCTGCACTGTATAGTAAGTCTCCGTCTCAAACAAAATATGTTGGATCATTTTATTCACTGTAGCATTTACAATAGCCAAGAAGTGGAAAACAAAAGCCTATTGATCAAAGAACTGAAAAACATAATGTGGTACACAAACACAATGGAATGCTATACACCCATAAAACAATGAAACTCTGTCATATCCAATACATGGATGGAACTGCAGATCATTATATTACATGAAGTAAGCCAGACACAAAAGACCAAGTATTACAAAATCTCACTCACGTAAAATATAATCTCACTCACAGAAACTGAGAGTACAACAGTAGTTACTAGAGGCTGGGAAGCAGAAGTAAGGAACAAGGTAATGACCAACAGAAACTAAAAAGTCAGAAGGTTTGGTGTGCAGTATTGCACTGCCTTAGGGTGACTACACATAACAAGTGTGCACTATGTATTTCAAAGAGAAGACAGAATTTTCAGTTTTCTCAGCATAAATGATGTATCTTTCATTGCAGATGTTTAACCTGATATTATTACATAATGTATACAAACATTAAAACATAATATAGCATTATTATATACGATTTTATGTTTTAATGCCACTGTCTACCAAACATACAAATGTATGACTCTTGTAACCTGTTAACCTGTTCTAGAAAGTTATCTCACATGATTGACACGGCCACAGGCTGGAGTAAACAGAGATGCATTTGGAACAAGCGGTTCATCTCGCAAATCCATAGGCTAGAGGCTAGGAGGAAGAAAACCAAGACTTTTTAGACTCCTAACCCTAAGGAAACTCCTCATTCAAAAGTACAGAGGAAAGCTGGGCATAGTGGTACACACTTGTAATCCCAGCACTTGGGGACTTAGGCAGGAGATCCCATGAATTACACAGTGAGTTCAAGACCAGCCTGAACATGGCAAGACCTTGTCAATGAACAAATGTTAAATAAATAAATAAATTGTTTTTGGACTCTTTTTTTCTTCTACTTCTTTCTTCCTGCTTTGTTTTAACTTTTTCCTTTTTTTTTATTCTTCATATTATATTTCTCCCTTTTTTCCTTTTACCTTCTATTTCTTAGATTTTTTTTCAGTTAACTTTATTTCTATAAAGAAATAAAGTTAACAGTTAACCTTCTAGTCCATAATAAGATCACCTGTCTTACTCTTCTCTCTTCCTTCTCATCAGCCATTATTTACGTAGTAATTTTTGTTTTGGTACTGGGGATCAAACTCACTTGCCAGATAGGTGCTTACACTGCTAAGCAAAATCCCCAGCCCCCAGCCATTATTTAATTTTCCAAATTTTTCTTTTGGTATTCTTCTACTGCCAACTACCTGTATCTTTAATAATATAGCCATTAAACTTTATTACTCTAGTTTGTTACCTCTACATTATTACTGTTACTAGTGGAAGTATAGTAGTAGATATTCACTATATGTCAGTATTTGGTTGCTGTGGGTGTTTATACTGTAACTACAGACTTCTTTTGTAAGGATAAGGGTGGTACAATATTGATTCTTATGACATATCAATATCCAGTTTGTCTTGGATGCTATTACTGTTATTAATCTACTTGATTCTGCAACAGTTGTTGCTATTATTAGGTTTCTTTGTATGCCAATACCTGGATTACCTTTGTGATATTAGCAATACTGTGGTTCATCCCCAGAGAACTACACTGTATCTTCTCCCATATTAATAAGAGGTGATTAGTCCTTTGGACAGAGGCAGAGGACCATAGTAAGCCATACCCTGAGTGGGTCACAGAAAAAACAAGACTGAAGAGCTCTGCACACTACTAGCAAAGTCCATCTATTGTAAGCGACTGCACATATCAATCAATCAATCAATCAATCAAACAGCAACAGAAACATGAGAAGACAAAACAACAAATGCCTCCTCAAACTTCTCCTCTCTCAAAGCTCCATGGAGGACCAGGGGGTCAAACAAAAAAGCAAAACTATTCAGAGGAGATTAAAAGAACAGATCAATGAGGTGCTTGGAGGGCTCATAGGAACTATGACTCATGAGATAATGAAGGTAATAAAATAGGGAACATACAATGGAAGACACCAATAAAAAGCTAGCTGAGCTAAACATAATGACACAAAACATGAATGAACATTTTAGCAAAGAATCAGAACCAGAGTCCATGAAAAAGTTCCAAACAAATTCTGGAGATCAAAAATTAAGCAGCAGACATGACTGAGGTGAAGACAAAATATGAGAATTAGGTCAGGTGTGGTGGTGCATACCAGCCTGACCTAGCATGCACCATTTGCTTGAAAAAGCAAGACCTTTTCAAACAAAACAAAACAGGATCAGAAGATGGGGATACTTTTGGGAAGATGGCGGAGTAGTAAGCAACAGAGAAAACAGCCTCTCTGAGAGATACCATCTAGACATGGAAATATACCATTGTGAGAAAGGTAAGAAAAGAAAGTGGATCTCTTGGACCTGGGAAGGGTCTGAATTCTGAATCGAAGCCCACAGAGAGAGTAAAAAGAAAAAAAAATTTTTTTTTCTTTTTTCTTTTAAAGGGGGTAAAATTAAACACAACATAACAGAACAAAATAGGACATAAGAAAGCAATGTAAGAGAGATAAATTTCAAAGCTAGATGACCTGAGATCTTCAC